ATCTATTCGTTCATGCCAATTCTGTTCCTCGTAAAGTCATCCGAAACTAGAAAGGCGTTCGAAAGTACTTGCTAAAACAGATGCAGTGCCTTTCCAGCCATACCTAGACGGCCCCAGAAATGATTGCTTAAATTGTTTAATAGGCAGGGGCACGGGTGGCCCAGTCGTCTGAGGTGCCGCGATTCGCACCTATGATTGTGGGTCCATATCCCGGATTATGTTTCTAGGTTTGTCAGCACCATACCCGTGCTCGTAGGTTTCGCCGAAGTGGTAGACGTCTCACTTCGGGCTTTCCTCCCACATAAAGCTGACACGCCGCGATATAACTGGAATACTGTTAAAAGCGGCGTTAAACCCAACTCACTTACTCACACTGTTTGATAGGCATTTCTTAGAAGTTGACGGATAACAAAGTAGACAAAACAACTTCCTTATTATACTGTAATAGCGACGTTTCGGTATAGATTCTCAAGCAAGACTGAATCATGGACATGGTACAGAAATATATATGGCAAGTGAAGTCATCTCACCTAGTAATCTAATCTGGTTTAACTGGCTTCCTGTTTAATCAGCTTCCTCTTCGCATGTTGTTCACGTTGATATAGTATTGTCTTTCTGTTGTCAAAAGTCCACCTACTCATGTTAATCCCTCTCATGTACATTAATTGTTCTCTCTGTTAATCCTTCATCTACCATATATAATTCCGTACCACGTTCATTATTCAAATTAAAAGTGTAAACAAGCAAAAAATCACACAAAAAATGGCATAACCTATATCTAAACTCAAATAGCCAAATCAAAAAAATACTCAGCAAACCATTCACCAAACCAAAAATTCTCCATCCGTCAAAAAAAATCGACAGAGTAATCACTAAACTCCAAACAGGACACACCAACCTAAATAACCACCTAAAAAAAATTAAAAAACACACTCCAGGTAACTGCCCACACTGCAAACAACCAGAAACCCCAGAACACGCACTCATCCACTGCACACACTACCTAACACATCGAACCGCATTACAAACCACCCTCAATCTAAACAAGGCTCTCACTCTAGAAGCAATACTAAACCCACAAAATAAACTAGAAAACTTCAAGGCCTTAGGCGTATTCTTAATAAAAACGGAACTAATAAAACGCATCTAAAAACACAATAACCTACCAAATCAAAATCAAATAAACAAACAAACATCCACCATACCCAGCTCCCTTAGTTCTCCTCCCCAACCCCATCGACATCTATTCCAAATCTCAAAATTCCCAAATTCTATATAAGCAACCCCTAAACCCCCCTCTTGGGTTGCACAGACCACTTTCGCCCCTTTCGGAAACACATTAAATGGCCTGGCCGGGCCCGTGTGCGAAATACGCATCAGTCGGAAAGCGCACGTTAAATCTCCAAAGTAAGTAAGTAAGTAAGTCATTATTCAATCTGACTTGACAACTGTATAAGGATATATACCAAAACGTCACTTTTTCGGTAAATACAGAAATTGTTATCCCTAAACCTTTTGTCTACTTTGTATGATTACATACCGCCAGTTTTATGCCATTACCTTCAGTTTTATGAAAAGAGTTAGTGAATATGGTTTTACACCGCTTTTAACAATATTCCAGCAATATCACTGCGGGGGACACCAGAAATGGGCTTCGCACATTGTACCCATATCGGGAATCAAACTAGGGCCTTCGTCGTGACGAGCGAATGCTTTAACCACTAGGCTACCCGACCGCACCAACTTTGCACAGAGAAACTGATGACTGGGCCACCCGTCCCCCTTTGAGACTTGGAACCTTGTCGCAGTTCTCTATCAACCAAAAATAATCACATACACTAAAGTATTCTTGTATTCATTTTAACTAATATACATGTATGAGCTGAAAATCTGCAAACCATAAAATCAAACCAGCGCTCCTTCTATGAAATGAATGTATACAACAACCTCATGACAGATTGACAGATTGACGCATCTGGCTGACAGAGTGAGGAACCTAAAGACATTTCAACCGCAATGACATCACTTCCGGTTTATGAAAAACACATGTCTAATGGAAGACAACAAACAAATCAATACTCATTTCCGAATCTTCCATAAAAGATAAATTAAGACACCTTTAAAACAGAAAGCCCTTTGACACCAGCTTCATTTATAAGTAGTTAACCATTGAACACACTTCCTGTTGATTGATGACACTTCCGGCTGGGGAACGCACATGTTTAAGACAAGAAAACTGTAAACATGTCAGAACGTCCTTTCAAAATATTTGCAAAATTTGACGTTTTAGTGCAAAAGGCAAACATACTTTCCGAATGACCTTCACTGGGACTTTGACCTTATACGTTGGTCATCCACGGCCTTTCCCGATATATGTCTCGCCCTAATGTTTCATTGACCAACAATAAATCCAAGAAAAATCTTGCCATGACATTCAGGATGACCTTGACATTTGACATGACATATCAATGTGTCAAAAGTATTTCTCAGGTACATGATATCCTATCCGCGAGGCGTGCAAGAACAGCATGGCTTAAAAACACAAGAGGGGATGCTCAATTAGATATTACTCGGAGCGAACAATATTTAGCGTTGTTTTCTGCTCACCTAACTACAAGCCCAGTACGTTTAAATCTCATTAAAATCAGATCTTAGTTAATGCTATCGCGAAACAAAGATCTGAGGACACCCCATTAAGGGTCACGTCAGACCGACCTTGCGCGAACTTTGACCGACCAATGGAATGACTGACAAGAAGTCGACATTAGCCAATCAGAAGGCAGCTTTCTCGTGCTTTACGGCACTAATTTCAAATTGGCGACGACGCTTCGAAACATATTTTGACAAATTCTCGATTCAAAATTTGAAACCTGAACAAAAGAACATTCTAAAATGGCTAATAGATGGTCTAGATTGTGTGGATTCAGTCGATAAGCCCGTAACTATCGTTCGGAATACCCCGTGTTAAAGTTTTCGAGGTTGTATGATTAGAAATCACATTCCGACTGTCACCTTCATGATCTGGTAAGCGACGCTCTGATTGGTTGGATGAAAGGTCGTTCTGATTTTAATGAGATTGAGTACGTTTAGACGGGTATTTTGCCTGCACGTGCTTGTTGTGGACAGTGTTTCCGATGACAGCTTGTTGAATTTAGTTAATTGTTGTAAATGTGTCTACTAGGTTTAAATATTTATGTATTTGAGTATTCGTGCACAAAAGAATGTTTATTCATTGGCTGAGTTAGTTGCCAATTTAAGGTATTTTAACAGTGTTTATTAAAATCTAATTACCAAACAAACCAAAAATTAATGAAAAGTTTTAAATGCAAATAATCCATAATATAGCATATGTTATCGCATTTAGTAATATTTAGTGCCTTGATATTGCTGCTTTATTGTTAAAAGTGGCGTAAAAGCATACTCCCTCACTCACTGTATGTGGTTAAGGGACCGACCGTTTGCTATTCAGGGAAAAACCTGGAAAACATAATTATTAAATAAGTTCATATTTTAATAAAAATACAATAAAATTGGACCTTAAGTTTGACCTCAAGAACACAAATCTTATTCGCCGGTAGTTTAGAAAACATCGTTGTAGTATCGTGATGCGACTTTTGAACTTGTAAATATAATGAAATATGAATGTCTAAGCTTATCAACGTAATATTGGTACTAATGCAGATATCGCGTCTCCTCATGAAAATAGTTATTTGACATTTTGATGCGAATGTTCAGCAAAACACATATACCCTTATCACTTACTTTTATGTCTTAAGTTTTAATGTTTATATTCGAATTTCTGCTCAGATTTCGTAAAAGGCTCCTTAATTAATAATTCTCTGGGATTGAAATGAATGTAACCCATATCCCAGATTGTCGTTTTCAGTGATACCATTAAATTATATATATATAATAATTAGTCAGAGGACAGATTGTACAAAGAATGGAACAAGCCATCTGTCAGTGAAACCCGGCTGTCGACTAAATTGGACTGGGTCATTCGTCACCACTCGCCCATATTTTCGCACAGTCCCCCTTTCGATGAATGTTATGTGCGAAAATACGACAAACCAATCAGAATGCGCGTATGAATTCACGTTCTTCATCAAAGAATCCCACAGGAATAATGTTTGATTTAACATATGTCTTGCATCTAAAAATATACCCAAGACACAGCTAAGTGTGTTCAATCATACCGTATAATTCCGCACATTCCGTTGTGCTTTAAATTGCATCTGAAATATATATATATAATATTTTAGGAAATATATGTGAAGCATTACGCAACGAGTTGAGCATTGTTTTAGGTATGCCCGTTTGCGCTAAGACGGAACCCGGTCGCAAAAATGGTCATGAGAGGGGCACGAGTCGCTATTCGGCTTGTCCCGGAATAACACGAGTTGGTCACGAATGTGGACTGGGTGGCCAGACTTGGTTGATAATCTTTGTGTACCTAATTTCACGCCACGTTAATTTTACAAATTTCACGCCACCTAATTAATATTAATCAAATTGCGTCCCGTGGTCGTACCTCAAACAAGCAGTGCTTGAACACGTCACTTACCGTTGTAAATTGGCGTCAATCCACTGGTCAGCAATATTCCATCTGGTAAGCAATATTCCAGCTATATGACGGCGGTCTGTAAATAATCGAGTCTGGGCCAGACAATCCAGTTATTGACATCATGAGCATCGTTCCACGCAATTGGGATACGATGACATTTATCAACCAAGTCAGCAAGTCTGACCTCCCGATCCCGTTAATCGCCTCTTACTACGAGCAAAGTCGCCTTTTACGGCAAGCATGGGTTGCTGAAGACCTATTCTACCCCGGACCTTCACGGGTCACGTATATAAGTTCAAAGATGTATGGGTCATATGGCACCGTATTAAAGGATTGTGAGCTTCTGTTCCTAAGTTCAATGCTGTTGCCATATATTGGGTAACCATTTGCAAAAGCTAAATGGTCATGTGAATAAATACAATTCTTGAATACCAGAAAGTATGTAATTATTTATTCCTGATTGAAAAGATCAAGTTCATCACACACATGATCATGTCAAGAAGTATTATGCACATTAGGAGAACCAACATGAACATTTCCAATAAAGAGAATACTGAAGTCATACATCCCACGTCAGAGTGAGTGAGTGAGTATGGTTTTACGCCGCTTTTTGCAATTTTTCAGCAATATCACGGCAGGGGACACCAGAAATGGGCTTCACACATTGTACTCATGTCGGGAATCAAACCGGGTCTTCGGCGTGACGAGCGAAGGCTTTAACCACTAGGCTACCCGACCACCCCTTCCAGGTTCCATCCCATTAGTCGCAAGCATGGAAATTCAGCAAATATCTAATTAAATTAACAAAAAGGATCTAACAAATGGAAATTCAGAGAAGATTTTAATAATAGAAATTAAGAAAATATCTAATTAAAAGAAATAAAAGGATCTAATATAAAATCGAAATTTGGAGAAGATCTAATTAAAATATATAAAAGGATCTAATAAATATTAGTAAATATTGAAAACCAGAGTATACCTAATATAAGAAAGACACAATAATCACCTGTGACATAGCTGCAACATTGCATAGATGATTAGAAAATCAAAGAAAGATTAGAAAAATGTAACTGGATCAATTTCTCCTTAACAGTCATTCTCCATTTTATACAATATTAAAACAAGGATGAAATTCCCGCTGCTATTTATGTCTTGGAATACTTGGAGATGTCGGAAGTCTTCATGAATTTCTCCCAGTTCTGGCCATCGACTGTCTCTACCTCAATCTTCTCCACAGTTCCAGGGTCAAGGCAGTGGGGAGCGACACCTGGTGGCAGAATGAAACATCAAGGGGGGTAAAAATAACATCCACACCCACAAGCAGGAGGAGAAACCATATCTCAGCATGTTGGACACTGACCTCTAAATTAATATTTGTTATCTTTCATCCCTAGGCAGGGTAACAACAAGTACCATCTTTTAACGATGCAGAATGAAACATCAAGGGGGATAAAAATAAGATCCACACCCACAAGCAAGAGGAGAAACCATAACTCAGCCTGTTGGACACTGACCTCTAAATTAATATTTGTTATCTTTCATCCCCAGGCAGGGTAACAACAAGTACCACCTTTTAACCATGCAGAATGAAACATCAAGGGGGGTAAAAATAACATCCACACCCACAAGCAAGAGGAGAAACCATATCTCAGCCTGTTGGACACTGACCTCTAAATTAATATTTGTTATCTTTCATCCCCAGGCAGGGTAACAACAAGTACCACCTTTTAACCATGCAGAATGAAACATCAAGAGGGGTAAAAATAACATCCACACCCACAAGCAAGAGGAGAAACCATATCTCAGCATGTTGGACACTGACCTCTAAATTAATATTTGTTATCTTTCATCCCCAGGCAGGGTAACAACAAGTACCACCTTTTAACCATGCAGAATGAAACATCAAGGGGGGTAAAAATAACATCCACACCCACAAGCAAGAGGAGAAACCATATCTCAGCCTGTTGGACACTGACCTCTATATTAATATTTGTTATCTTTCATCCTCAGGCAGGGTATCAACAAGTACCATCTTTTAACGATGCAGAATGAAACATCAAGGGGGGTAAAAATAACATCCACACCCACAAGCAAGAGGAGAAACCATATCTCAGCCTGTTGGACACTGACCTCTAAATTAATATTTGTTATCTTTCATCCCTAGGCAGGGTAACAACAAGTACAATCTTTTAACGATGCAGAATGAAACATCAAGGGGGATAAAAATAAGATCCACACCCACAAGCAAGAGGAGAAACCATATCTCAGCCTGTTGGACACTGACCTCTAAATTAATATTTGTTATCTTTCATCCCTAGGCAGGGTAACAACAAGTACCATCTTTTAACGATGCAGATTAAAACATCCAGGGGGGTAAAAATAAGATCCACACCAACAAGCAAGAGGAGAAGCCATATCTCAGCCTGAAAGACACTGACCTCTAACCAATATTTGTTATCTTTCATCCCCAGGCAGGGTAACAACAAGTACCATCTTTTTACCATGGTGGCAGTCTAACAGTGATCAGCAGTGAGTGTTTGTAACTTTGACACAATCTGCAGTATACTGTGTCTCTCCCTCCCTTGTTGTAAGGTACCAAGAGTGGTTCAGATAACTCTCTTTGCTGTCTGAGGCGCCGCGATTCGCTGTGCAGCGTTGCGTCCCTTGGACACGCCAGAAACCTATGATTGTGGGTTCGAATCCCGGTTCGCCCCGATTATTTTTCTAGGTTTGTCAGCACCATACCTGTGCTCGTGGGTTTCACCGAAGTGGTAAATGTCTAAGACCTGCATCACTTCGGGCTTTCCTCCCACATTAAGCTGACACGCCGTGATACAACTGTAATACTGTTAAAAGCGGCGTGAAACACAACTCACTCACTCTTTGCTGTCCTTCAACAAATAGCTTCTGTTGACTGCTAAAGATTTTCGTGTTAAGATAAAGTGGGGCTGTGCTGTTGCGACACACACGGTTGGAAAATGCTTATTGTGCTCATTTTACCAGCCAGTATTAGTCTTTTATATGTCTATCTGTTTAATACTTTTTAACAGTTTGCTGTACACAAATCTGTCATTATCCCTTTTATTCAAGTTTACTTTTGCTGTGATATAAATACACATACTTTAAAATACCATTCCTTGTCACTGTGATAGTGTTCAATTTTCTAGTGTTCAATTTTCTGCATGTTTTTACTTGTGGTTATATTAGTAAGTGTCTTAATTTCATATGTACATGACATGAAGATCTGGGGTAGAATAGGTCTTCAGCAACCCATGCTTGCCGTAAAAGGCGTCTAACGCGCTAACTTGGTTGATGCATGTCATCGGTCCAAATTGCGTGGATCGATGCTCATGATGTCAATCACTGGATGGTCTGGTCCAGACATGATTATTTACAGACTGCCGTCATTTAGCTGGAATATTGCTGAGTGCGACATAAAACAACAAACAAACAAAACAAATCATATGTACATATTTTAATTTCATATATTTTCCTTTTTTCATATTTTAGTGCTTATCAACTATGCAATATGAATTTTCTTTGGATAATAGTTTTATCTTATCTTATCTCTCTTATCTTATCTTAAGAGTCACGATGGTCTTAAAATGTGCATGGCGCCACTAACACTTTTGACGCCAATAATAAAAATGTTTTATGCAGGATTACATAACCAACTTGAAAAGTACACATTAAACGTGAACGCAAAAGCAGCATTGCAAACCAGAAGCATCACATTTTAGTAAAGATGCTTGTTTCTTGGTTGTTTAATGCAGCACTTGGGAAGATTCCAGCCATATGAAGGTGGCCTGGAAATGATTGAGCCTGGACCAGACAAACCAGTGATTGATAATGTCAGCTTAGCAACATCCATGTAATTGAGACACACAATGACATGGAATCAACCAATCATCGAGCGAGACCACCTGATCCATCTTATGACAATTTTAGGGACAAATGATAATGTGGAATCCCCCCCCCCCCTCCTAAATGTACAGGAGTGTCACACATAGTCTGACCTTTACAGGAATACCAGCCCCATGTCAAGGCCTCAGCTGAGTGAGTGAGTGACTTGTGTTTAATTCCGCTTTCAACAATATTCCAGTTATATCACGGTGTGTCAGCTTAATGTGGGAGGAAAGCCCGAAGTGATGCAGGTCTCAGATGTTTACCACTTCGGTGAAACCTATGAGCACAGGTATGGTGCTGACAAACCTAGAAACATAATCAGGGTGAACCTGGATTCGAACCCACAATCATAGGTTTCTGACGTGCCCAAGGGACACAACTCTGCACAGTGAATTGCGGTGCCTTAGACGACTCGGACACCCTCGCCCCGCAGACGTGTCAGACAGACATCACAACACAACGTCTGTTAGCTCACCATAGCCATCTGGGTTTGATCTGGGAGAGTAGAAACTCTGGACACCACAGGTCTTACAGAAGGTGTGCTTGGCTTTGTGGGTGTTGAATGTATACACTTCTATGTTGTCTTCCCCCTGTAAATGAAAGATACAATCTTTGTGGCACTGGCGTAACATTGGATGACCTTTGCTTGGTGAAAACAAACTAAAGAAAGTCTTGTGTTCATCTTCTGCCTACTTTGTTTCATTGAGTCGGAAAGAGTGAGTGAGTGAGTGAGTGAGTGAGTGAGTGAGTGAGTGAGTGAGTTGGGTTTAACGCCGCTTTTAACAGTATTCCAGTTATATCACGGCGTGTCACCTTAATGTGGGAGGAAAGCCCGAAGTGATGTAGGTCTCAGATGTTTACCACTTCGATGAAACCCACGAGCACGGGTATGGTGCTGACAAACCTAGGAACATAATCGGGCGAACCGGGATTCGAACCCACAATCATAGGTTTCTGGCGTACCCAAGGAACGCAACTCTGCACAGCGAATCACGGCGCCTTAGACAACACGGCCACCCATGCCCCCGAGTTAGAAAGAGTAAATGGTGGATTTCTGTTATATGATCTCAGTGTCAGCTTTGTTATGAAATTTCATCTTATTATTTCCATCTTCCCAAGATAAGGTAGAGTTAAAGTCCAGTTTCCACCCTTGCCTAGACTAACATCTAGTCTCTGAAATGAACATATCGTACAGAAAAAAACAGTTGTTAAATTATCTTTATAAAAATATAAAAAAAGGGAGCCCAGTGACTCTCTTCATTTCCCTGATACTGCAGTAATCTAGACTTGCCAAACATTATAGACTTGCATGGGCTGTATTTGATATATATTTGTATCAGGGTCTGTGAGACAGACTAACCCTTGCCGAACTAGACAAGAATTTCTGGGCTTGATGGTAGCGCCGACAGTGGCTATTACGAGTTATGTCCCGCCTACTGACCAATCAGATTCCACCTCTCATATCACTTGTATTTATTTCAAATAAAATAGCAATGCCCAGTAAAGATGATATGATCTATAATCTGATCTATATTGTAATAAAACGGGTCTTACTTCGTAAGGTGCATCAAATCACATGAAACATCTTGATTAAAAACATGAAAAGATTTGAAAAATTATCTCAGCTGATGGTACACATGCATTGCAAATCCTGCAATCAACCGAAATCGGCAAGGCAGTTTACAAATCAGAGGTTGATTTTGTCATGCGATTTCGATTGGACTAGGCATAGACTTGTTAGTCCAGCCACAATATAACTCCAGCCTAGTTCGGCAAGGGTGGAAACTGGACTTTAAAAGTCAGTTAACTCCCTTGCCTCGGGGAGATGATTATTTCAAACCACTTCATGATCTCAGCTCTGTTATCTCAACTTTTTTTTATCTCATCCTTCTCATCTCAACTTCATAATCCCAGATGTTATTTCACTGGTGGGGCGGGATATGCTCACCTATTTACGAATACCTGGTATCATCATAATTTGAAAGTGATTCATAAACACATGCTCATGATGAAGTCAGAATTGTACAATCAACTCTGCTTTTTGCAGACATTTCTCATGAATATGGAACGGCTTTTGTTGCTTTTATTCAACAGTGGTATCTCATCTCTGTTATCTCAACTTTGTAATCTCAGGTTTTTATCTCAACTTTGTTTTCTAACAATCCTGGCAGCTGAGGGACACTGAGAGTTGTATTTCCCTAGTCACCAAATTGATTGTGCGAGCATTTTACTGTAAATCATTTAAAAATATGTGAATAGTAGTAAACCCATCTGCTTGTGGTTCCCTTTCCGGGAAGCCGCTTTTTGTCCACAAAACCTAGCATTGTAAGAATGGTGCTATTGTTTTAATTAATCAGCAACTAATTAAGATACAAGATGTTTATTGACTAGGCACGATGTGCTTTTCAATTGGCATCTATGAGTATGTTTGTTGCAGAAGCTTTTCCAAATGTAACTGTCGGTAAGTGAATTTGGCAATCGGCTGATACACAATCATTTTATCTAAAGGTTTTAATTAACGCTATCGTTTTATCTAATAGTTATAATATATGCATTAATTTTATTTCAATAGCATATTGATAGTTTTTGTTATGTATTTGATATGCTAGGATTGGATTTGTCTGTGTATTCAGCTCATTTAATGCATATTTTATGCAAATACACAGCTTATCTCAAGCTCTGATCTTAATGAAAGCCTGAAGTCATACAGGTCTTTATCATTTTGGCGAAACCAACATCCTTGGGTATGATGATGACAAACCTAGAAACGTTATCGGCAGGAGTCTAGGATGTCAGTCAATAACCACATGATTTTGGTCCTACTTAGGAATACATCTGAGTGAGTGAGTGAGTGAGTGAGTGAGTGAGTGAGTGAGAGTGTGAGTTGGGTTTAACGCTGCTTTGAACAGTATTCCAGTTATATCACAGTGTGTCAGCTTTATTTTGGAGGAAAGCCCGAAGTGATGCAGGTCTCAGACGTTTACCACTTTGGTGAAACCCACGAGCACGGGTATGGTGCTGACAAACCTAGAAACATAATCGGGACGAACTGGAATTCAAACCCACATTCATAGGTTTCTGGTGTGCCCAAGGGACGCAACTTTGCACAGCAAATCGCGTGACCTTAGACAACTGGGCCACCCGTGCCCCTGAATACATCTGAACAATTTGGGAAAGAGAAACAATTATTTTCCAATTTTCCTGTATATCCCGAATCTTACCTTGATGAGCTCGAACCTGGACTTGGGCACAATGAAATGCATGTTGCCTTTTTTTACACAAATACTGCAGCTGGAAGGAAGTGAGAATTCTACCGTGAATTTGGAAATTACTCGTTTCTGACTGGTCAAACAGAGGTTGTCAAATCACAATAAAACCCCTCTGTTTGAAACAACCAATTTGATGGCTGCGTTGACACAGAAGCTAATGTTCATAGAATAGTACAAAAAGCCACAGTCAATCCTTAATTCTACCATGAATTTGGAAATTACTCGATTCTGATTGGTCAATCAGTGGCTATCAAATCACAATAAACCCCCCCTGATTGAAACAGCCGATTTGACGGCCGCATCACCACGGAAGCTCTTTTCAGTCATTGTCCGTAGTCATATTTAAATAATTATATCTACAATTATAGGTTACAAAATGCAAAGTTGCGGTTACTACAATATTCAAAAGGATGTGTGGCAATACATTTTGTGCAGAGAACATGATAGAAATCTACAAAGAGAATGTATTTACATTTTGGAGACAATAGAGAGCTGGGAATTTGGCGTGTTTGGTTCCAAATTCAGTTTAGTGCGGTAAAATCTACACGTGACCGCCTTCTACATAGAAAACACAGTATGTTTGTCTCCTAGTTAACCATGAAATATTTCATCAATGACCTCAGATGTTATAAGATCCCTCTACAATGTTCACCAAGGTTTTGATAAAAATAAATGAAAACTATCATTTTGCCACAGGTTTTACACAGAAAGTACAAAATGTTCCCTGGGTGACCTGATTGCATCTCTCCTCCTTCTTAAGCAAAACCAACAGTGTACCCACACAGACTGTGTGATCAATTGAACAAGCAGTGCAAATATACTACTAAAAAATAGTTAAGCACCACCTGATTGTTTGTCATGGCATGACCGATTAACTACAGTGATATGAAAGAAAGAGTGTGAGTGAGTGAGTTGGGTTTAACACCGCTTTTAACAGTATTCCAGTTATATCCTGGCGTGTCAGTTTAATGTGGGAGAAAAGCCCGAAGTGATGCAGGTCTCAGACGTTTACCACTTCGGTGAAACCCACAAGCACGGATATGGTGCTGACAAACCTAGAAACATAATTGGGGCGAACCAGGATTCGAACCCACAATCATAGGTTTCTGGCATGCCCAAGGGATGCAACTCTGCACAGCGAATCGCGGCGCCTTAGCCGACTGGGCCACCCGTGCCCCCTATGAAAGAAAGAGGGATGTAAGTAAGGCCTGGCCGCTGATGGATACCATACTGAAGTTCACAAACAACGACTTAATGACTACAGTTGGCTTCCACTATACAAGAGAAATTATTTACAAGAAATCCAATTCCTCAGTGAGTGAGTGAGTGAGTGAGTGGGTTGGTGGGTGAGTGAGTGAGTGAGTGAGTGAGTGAGTGAGTGAGTGAGTGAGTGAGTGAGTGAGTGAGTGAGTGACTACTGTCTTATGCCTCTTTAAGAATATTCCTGCAATATCACAGTGGGGAACAGAAGAAATGGGCTTCACGCATTGTGCCCAACTGGGGAATCAAACGCGGGTCTTCAGCATGACCAGCGAATGCTTTAAATCAATAGACTTCCCCATCGCCCCCATATGATGCCAAAGCAAAAAGTCTGAAATTAGCTGTGAACTACAGGTACTTGGATCCAGTTCATGGTGTAAACCACTTTTATATGTCACTTCGAGAAATATGCCATGGAGTAACAGGGACGTCTTCGAGGTCATTCAGTCCAAGGACTTCAGAAATTGGTTGTAAGAACTTGCCAATCTCTGTTTTTCAAAATCATAATGGTTCAGCTCTACAAAGGTGGCTTATGTTTCATGACCAATAGGAGAATTAGGTTTATATTTATTTTTCTTTGTTGTTTATTGCCGCACCTATATGATACCCTGTAGATAATTGAGTATGGATAAGAGTGAGTGAGTATGGTTTTTCGACCCTGTTACCAATATTTCTGCAATATCATGGCGGGGGACACCAGAAATGGGCTTCACACATTGTACCCATGTTGGGAATTGAACCTGGGTCTTTGGTGTGACGAGCGAACGCTTTAACCACTAGGCTACCTGACTGCCCCAGTATGGATAAGACAGTCAAGTGATTGATATCATGAGCATTGATCTGCACAAATGGGATATGATGACATGCATCAACCAAGACAGCGAGCGTGACATCCTGATCATGTGGTGCTAGCTGCCTCTTTCGACAACCATGGGTTTATGAAGACCAATTCTAACCCAGCTCTTCACGGAGACCATTATGTTTTGATACTTAGGGTCCATCCCTTACAGTTATTGCTATTGTTTCTGAATGGATACCTATGCGTCACTTCAATCCAGAGGGGGCGGTGGGGAAGCCTTGTGGTTAAAGTGTTCGCTTGTCATGCCCAAGGCCCGGGTTCGATTCTCCACATGGGTACAATGTGTGGAGACCGCTTCTGGTGTCCTCCATCTTGATAAAGCTGGATATTGCTAAAAGCGGTGTAAAACCATACTCACTCACTCAATTTTCATTAAAACACATAGAAAGGTGAACAAGAAAAGTTTCCATTACATGCATGAACAGAAGCCCCATCCCCATCTTTTCCTGGCTGCATCAAATCTGTATCTGCAGCCACATCAATCCAAGAATCATACTCAAGTGGCTTACTTGCAGTCAAATACATGGAGAACACTTGGAGCAAAGACCTGGAACCGGACGGCGCCACAGTGACATCCTCCCTTGTGCAGGACAAATGTATCTCCACTCATACTGCAACACCTGCAACACACTGTAACACACACTGTAACATACACTGTAACACACACTGTAACATACACTGTAGTACACACTTTAACATACACTGTAGTACACACTGTAACATACACTGGAGTACATACTGTAACATACACTGTAGTACACACTGTAACATACACTGTAACATACATTGTAGTACACACTGTAACATACACTGTAGTACACACTGTAACATACACTGTAGTACACACTGTAACACACACTGTAACATACACTGCAGTACACACTGTAACCTACACCGTAGTACACACTGTAACATACACTGTAGTATACACTGTAAAATACACTGTAGTATACACTGTAACATACACTGTAACATACACTGTAACATACACTGTAGTACACACTGTAACATATACTGTAGTACACACTGTAACATACACTGTAGTATACACTGTACCATACACTGTAGTATACACTGTAACATACACTGTAGTACACTGTAACCTACACCGTAGTACACACTGTAACATACACTGTGAAATACTGTAACATACACAGTAACACACACTGTAGCACACACACTGTAACATATACTGTAACATACACGGTTACATACACTGTAGCATACTGTAACATACACAGTAACACACTGTAACATACACTGTGAAACACTGTAACATACACAGTAACACACTGTAACACACACTGTAACATACACTGACACACTGTAACCTACACTGTAACACACACTGACACACTGTAACCTACACTGTAACACACACTGTAACACACACACCATAACATACACTGGAACATACACTGACACACTGTAACCTACACTGTAACATACACTGACACACTGTAACCTACACTGTAACACACACTGTAACACACACACCATAACATACACTGGAACATACACTATGGTACACACTGTAAAACACTGTAGCATACACTGTGACAGACACTGGAACATACACTGTAGTACACACTGTAGCATACACAGTAACACACTGTAACACACACTGTAACACTGTAGCATACACTGTAACACACATTGTAGCATACACTGTAACACACACTGTAGTACACACTGTAACATACACAGTAACACACACTGTAGCACACACACTGTAACATATACTGTAACATACACTGTAGCATACTGTAACATACACACTGTAACATACACTGTGAAACACTGTAACATACACAGTAACACACTGTAACACACACTGTAACATACACTGACACACTGTAAGCTACACTGTAACACACACACCATAACATACACTGGAACATACACTATGGTACACACTGTAAAACACTGTAGCATACACTGTGACAGACACTGTAACATACACTGTAGTACACACTGTAGCATACACAGTAACACACTGTAACACACACTGTAACACTGTAGCATACACTGTAACACACATTGTAGCATACACTGTAACACACACACTGTAGTACACACTGTAAAACACTGCAACACACTGTTAAAACACTGTAACACACACTGTAACATAAGCATGACAAACACATTGAGCTTGTTAGACAAGCTTGACACACAGGCGGGACCAAGCCAGTCAGGTGATCTCAAAACAAGCTGAATATTCATGACCTGGATTGGAGCGAGAACAGTGTGACCATGGTTTCATTTGGCCTGACCAGAGGTCCATATTTAGCCTAAAATCTGCAGCAAATGGGTCAAACATAAAGGGTCAATGCCAGAGATTAACCAGTCTTTATTATCGGCTGAAACAGATTCCACTGGATGCAAAAGTCAAAATAGCAGTAAAAATTATATGAACGGATCACTGAAAATCAGTGATGACACCAGGGCCCACATGCACAATGCGATCTTAGCGCTAAGACTATCGTAAGCCTATGTTAAAGTATGGGAGTTACAATCATCTTTGTGCAAGTGGGCCCAGGTGTTTTGGAAAAGGGTAAGCATATCCTGGCCTGCCGGACACAATTTACATAAAAAATGTAAGTTTTTGCTGCCTGGTTTGCACATCAGTACCCCTGCCATGTGACGACATCCCAGTTTGGATTTTCTTTTCGCAAATAAACTTACAGTCATAACTAAGGTTCTGTCTTTGTAGATGTGACTTGTATTTCACTCATAACAGGACAATAACGAGTAAGAGGGTTTAATGTTCTTCTCTTGTTAACTCAGACAAGTAGGATATTCAAACATTCAAAAACATCCAATATCTTACAAGTGTCATGGCAACATTTTCACAATTTTCAAAATCTTAACCTTAACTTCATTGTAAAGGTGGGTCTTATGAACATACTCAGAAAATATGAGATAGATATATCCTTTTGTTTCTTATGGGGGTGGCATGAAGGCTGGTTTGTTTTCACTATAACTAGTAGTTGTGGTGGCCGTTTTGAATTTTTCATTGTGAACAGGTAACATTGTTGTAGCTAGGGAGATAATAGAACGTACATTGTGGAAATGATATTTAAAAGTTCAGTAGATTTGGAGAAGATGTGACATAAAGTTTCAGTGCTAACAGACAGATGGACAACAGACATAAACCAATAACATGATCTCACTGCCTGCCAACCTTTGAGAGAAAAATATCTCCTCAAGGTGCAAAATGAGAGTTCTATTTGTTTTTTATTTGAGTGAGTGAGTGAGTGAGTTGGGTTTAACACCGCTTTTAACAATATTCCAGTTATATCGCGGCGTGTCAGCTTAATGTGGGAGGAAAGCCCGAAGTGATGCAGGTCTCAGACGTTTACCACTTCGGTGAAACCCACGAGCACGGGTATGGTGCTGACAAACCTAGAAACATAATCGGGGCGAACCGGGATTCGAACCCACAATCATAGGTTTCTGGCGCAACTCTGGGGACGCAACTCTGCACAGCGAATCGCGGCGCCTTAGACGACTGGGCCACCCGTGCCCCCCGTGGCCATTTTGAATTTTTCATTGTGAACAGGTAACATTGTTGTAGCCAGGGAGATAATAGAACGTACATTGTGGAAATGATATTTAAAAGTTCAGTAGATTTGGAGAAGATGTGACATAAAGTTTCAGTGCTAACAGACAGATGGACAACAGACATAGACCAATAACATGATCTCACATTGACCAAAACTGCCTGCCAACTGCCAGCTCAATCGGATGTCGTCATTTGGAAATACCCCAGATGGTTATAGTTCAATCATAAAAAAGCATCCATGCAGTGAAAGCATTTTTGGATTTCGGAATTCGGATTGCGTCGATAATACGATTGCTACTCCCTTGTTGTCATCCACGTTTTCTGGTATAACCCTACACTTGTGTATTTATCGTCATTCACTTGATGCTCAGTTAATGAATTTATTACAAGAATACTTAGTGGTAGCACCACTCAGAATACCTGACAAAGGTTCCCATTTGGCATTTATTGTGTCTGGGGTAATTATTCAATCTAAATCCAGGTTTGAAGTGAGGTGAAATGTGTGTTATGTAATATGCACGTATAGATAAATTACTACTGTAATTACGGTATACGCATTTCTGTGTTTTTCTTGTAATTTGAGAGTCCCGGTATAGCAATATCCCGTGTTTACTGTAGCGTGATCAGTTTACTGTAGCTTCACGAAAGCGAAGAGATTTTAGAGTTGATTATGGCTAGGTTTTGCTCTTCCGGCCCATCACCTAGCAACCCAGCAAGAGATGAATGATCAGTTGATTTACTTTTTAGTGAATCAACGGATCGTTCCGTTGAATAAGGAATAAGGAATAACAGAAAATACGTTGATTGATTAATCACTGTTGTTTTGCACAGTTGATATGTCAAAAGTGAGTGTTTACATGTCTAGGTTTACTAAAACAAAGGGCATACACTCATATCATGGCGTGAAGTGCCGATGTAAAAACAACATACTTTGTTCAAAGGGTTAACCGATGATATGTTGATTGATTGCTCATTGTTATCTAACTAATGGATTTTTTTAGGAACCGTGGATGTTATGAAAATAGTTGTCACGTGGGCTTCCTCAGCCGACCTTTGAGACTTGACACCTTTGTGAAAAACCTGAAACAATCTAAGTGATCAGTTGAGAAACGAACACGGGTTATAATATCCCGAGACGATATATATTTTTAAAACATTTAATTGTTACAGAGATACGTGACATCAAATAAGTTTCCTTGTACAGCTGCAGACATGTGGGATATTGTTCCTTTGTGTGGATATACTTGGATACATTGCTCGAACAAGGAAGCTGCCTAAAATTATACAAATTAAAATTATATGGAACACGTAAATTTGGTAGGTTATAATTATGATATTTGCCTTTTGTTTTCCTTCATTTGCTGTAGCATTGAACAGATTCATGTGTTTCTCTCAGGCAATTTATAAAAATGTGTAAACATTTCAGTCATATTGACTGAAAAATCTGTCCATTTCTTTAACACATTGACTAAAATTGATTACGACGATCAAAAGGTCCTAAAAACATCACAATAGATTAGTATGTAGGTTGGATTAGAAGCCAAACAATATAGAAATGTACTTTTCATCGAAACATTTACAATCTCTTGGTGATGATATTAAACATAAAAATCTTTGGAACTCGTTTTATGATAATACAGATGGACATATTTTTCAGTCAATTTGTAAAATAACTGTATATTTAGGCGTTTAATAAATTTTCAAAGTGAAAATTTTGCACATTTTTACTGTAAAAATATAAACACGATAAAATAAGCAATACTCAGGAGAAATATTTACTTTGTGTTGAAAGTCAAAATAGCGTAAACGAAAATCGCACAATAACCAAGCAAGACTTAGTGACTTATCAAAACTTGGTCACCAGTACCGATGCTACCCGCAAAGATACCTACATTTCCTTATTATTTCAAAAACTGTATTTCATTTTATTGATCAATGCGACCATACGCCGTTATACTATCAATAAAAGTGACAAATGCGCTTACGAATTGCGCAGCACAGGTCGCGAAATAGTCTAGATTTCTACTGTATCATCCGGGTACTCACGGGGAAAAAACAATAACAAAGGCAACAACCAGTCCCGGGGAATTGCTTTAGATCAGTGCCCCTTTAACTTATTGAACCGAGATACTGTCTGCATAGATATGTAGACCTGAGCTAACTTGCATGTTGTATATTCGTATAGGCCTAGTGCTGAACACCTAATTACACACAGTCGTGCATGTGCGAGGTGAAATACTGCTCTGCAATCACTGATACCAACTGTCACTAATGCTAACCTTCACGCCCTTCTGTTTTTGCAGAACGTATGGGTCGATCGTTTGCTCAAGTAACTTCAACACCTGGCAAGCAGGCGGGCACTACGAACTAGAGTTACCTGCCCTTGAATGAAACGCTCGTACAATCAGTACACACGTGGCCTGTCTTCGTTCTACCTGTAAATATTATTTCATGCAGTACTTGATGTGAAACTAAATTGTATAAATCTGTACGAAGGCCTGAGGCCTTATTACCGAATAAACTGATTGATTGATAAGATTTGGTTTTAGTTTGTTGTTTAACGCCGCACTCAGCAATATTCCAGCTATATGACGGCAATCTGTAAATAATCAAGTCTGGACCAGACAACCCAGTAACTGATATCATGAGCTTCGATCCGCGCAATTGGGATCGATGATATGTATCAACCAAGTCAGCGAGCCTGGCCACCCGATCCCGTTAGTCGCTTCTTACGACAAGCATAGTCGCCTTTTACGACAGGCATGGGTTACTGAAGACCTGTTCTACCAGGGATCTTCACGGGTCGATTGATAAGAAAAATGCCAAGGAGACTTTGTGGTTTGTCTCCCATTCCCTGAACAATAATATTTTTCCTTTCGCCTACCCATTACTTTAATGCCAGTGACAAGTTTACTTGTACTGCAGACAGTGTTCGAAATAGACATCGGCCCGTAGGCCCGGGGCCGACAGATTTGTTCTCGGGCTGATAGTTTTACATTCCAGGAGGCCCTTACTGCAGTTTACTTTAAGTTTATTTTAAGCGGTAAACATGGTATCATAAATCATAACACTGAGATTGCTTTTAGAAACAGGGTCCAGCTTCAAAGTACTCCGCTCGTGAGCTCTTTCAACGCCGCAAGCCTGTATCGGTCACACCGTAGCCACGTCAAAATAATATATAGTTTCATGAGTGAGTGAGTGAGTTTGGTTTAACGCCGCTTTTAACAGTATTACAGTTTATCACGGCGTGTCTGCTTAATGTGGGAGGAAAGCCCGAAGTTGTGCAGGTCTTAGACGTTTACCACTTCGGTGAAACCCACGAGCACGGGTATGGTGCTGACAAACCTAGAAACATAATCGGGGCGAACCGGGATTCGAACCCACAATCATAGGTTTCTGGCGTGCCCAAGGGACGGAACTCTGCACAGCGAATAGACGACTGGGCCACCCGTGCCCCCTATAGTTTCATGAACCGACCTGTCATATCATTCATTTATTAAATCTATCACGTTTCACAATATCTGAAAATACGTATTTCATTTCAATTTATCATATTTTATCAATAGATTTCAAATTATTAATTATTCCCGCAATGTTATTGAAAAAAGAACCTGGGACACATGCTTCGATAGCGGGTCCACATCGAACATTTCAAAGAGCATTATAAAGACGTTTCAAGCAAAATCGTAAAATTAAATAAAGTAAAAAATATAATCAACAAACATATATCTAAAAAATGTCAAACTTACATCTAAGTTTCTATTTCCATATTTTCGTGAGATCGAGCAATATAAGTCAAATGACTTTGTCGCCTCTATTTTTAGGCTTGGACACGATGTTTTATGCCAAAATATATATGCATGAGAAATCTTTTCCACAGGTCGTAACCTAGCACGATATGACCTGGAAGTTCCCTATTTTAAACATAGGTCGCGATTTATACAAAGCTTCGATAACGGAGGTATTTCCAGGTATTTTCCCATGTTACTGAACAGAAAGTCACTGTGAAATATGTGATGATAGATAGTATTTAATATAACATCTTTTATCATCATATTCCGATTATTTTAAGAATGAAAATTAAAAAGAAATAAGATTGTGAAAGTTCTGTTATGAAATCTTAGAATTGCCGAAAATCGCGATAATTTTCGCTTCCCTGGTGCTTAATTTGGACGTTATGAATGTATTATCTTAAATTTGTATAAATAGTGAGTGAGTGATTTGGGTTTAACGCCGCTTATAACAGTATTCCAGTTATATCGCGGCTTGTATGGATAACAAACTTAATTAAGTTATAAATGCATTATTTAAATAATGTTATAAACATTACTTTCATACTTATAAACATTAGGATTAGACTTTCAAATGGCGTAAGGCATGTAGTTGTTTGACAAGCTGATAATTTCCTTGATAAATGTAGGCTTCATCTATCACCACAGTGTCTGGGAACTCCTTGCTTCAGCTAAAATGTTTGGGCCTTTATATATGTAAAGTATATACGATATACAGCTTTTCCATTGGACGGGAGGTCGGTCGGTCACATGACCGCGAAACTTAAGTTCATAAGTTTATAATGTGTTTCGTTGTGTTCATTGTAAATCCTGCATTCCGATTAGCTGAAGTGGTCACGTGTTATTCCATTCTTTTCCAGATGAATGTAAAATGTTAAGCCACGCCCGCCGAAGCGAACTACTTTTATTACGCGGATTCATACAGTTTGCATATCGGTTTTTCGATTAATATCTCAATGAACTGAAAAAAGCCATAGTCAATCCTTAAATGAACGACACATTTTGACGTCCATACGTTTTTAACAAGACTATATTCTTAAAATCATCATTTAGACCCTTTAATCGTGAACTTAGCGTTTTAGCATAAAATGGCAAAAGTCTGAGTTTGATTGCACGCCTTTCAAGGATATCTTCGCTACAATCCATCCTAGAGACAAAATGAAAAAAAGTATAATTTCGAAACTGTCGTAGTATCGACTCGCTCCGTGTCTGGACCTCATTGACAGTCTACAGCAATCTATGAATTTACCTTTGTATCTATTTGACACGTTTTTGCTATCACCTTTCAATGTTTAGCCATTTGATCAGTGATGACTAACACTTGTAATAGCTACAGGTTCAATAACAACTTCGGAAATCTCTTCCGTCACGTTTATCGTATCGACCATTTTGACGTCTTGTACGTGATGTAAATGTATTACGACGCGATGTCATTTCGACTGACTTACTGAGGCAGTTTTTAACCAACCCTTCTCATTTGACGATGATCTTATTTGAATAATTTGTTGTCAAGAAACTACAAAAGTTGTTCCTGTAGAGCATGTTGGGCATGCATACGCTCATGCCACCTCTCGTTTTGGTGACCCGTGAAGATTCCGGGTAGAATAGGTCTTTAGCAACCCATGCTTGCCGTAAAAGGCGACTATGCTTGTCGTAAAAGGCGACTAACGGGATCGGGTGGTCAGGCTCACTGACTTGGTTGATGCATGTCATCGATCCAAATTGCGTGGATAGATGCTCATGATATTAATCACTGGATTGTCTGGTCCAGACTCGATTATTTACAGACCCCCGTCATATAGCTGGAATATTGCTGAGTGCGGCATTAAACAACAAACCATCAACCATCAACATCTCGTTTTGATGAACTTCTTTATTCAGCGATTCGGCTGGTTGTTGTGTGGCTGTCAGTGTATACATGACGTCACACGTCCTAAATATGTTTGTGTACAGATCTGGGTCTAAACCCTTTGAGGTAAAATATAGCGATATAAACAATTATAAGAACTGACTTTCACTTTGTGTGAGTTCATTGGAGTATGAGCCTTCATACTCCAATTAACAAACCCTCGCTAAAACACATTGCAAGTTTATGGACACGGTCATCTTCCCGAGGCAAGAGAGTTAACTGACTTTAAAAGTCCAGTTTCCACCCTTGCCGAACTAGGCTGGTATTATGGCGTTACATTTTGGCTGGGCTAACGAGTCTATGCATAGTTCAATCAAAATCGCGCAACGAAATCGAAATCCGGTTCGTAAACTGTCATGCAGATTGCGGTCGATTGCGGGATTTGTAAAGCATGTACACCGCCAACTCGTTGTCAGCAGATATTTTCCAAATCTTTTCATGTTTTTAATCAAGGTGCTCACGTGGCCTGTTTTATCACAATATAGATCTTGATTATCGATCAGATCGCCCTGACTTGGCGCCACCATTTTGTGTGAAGCAAACACAAGTGATACGAGAAGTGGAATCTGATTGGTCCATAGGAGAGGCTTAGACGGGACTTAACTGGTAATAGCCACTGGTGGCGCTACGATCGAGCCTAGTAATTCCAGCCAAGTTCGGAAAGGGTGGAAACTGGACTTTTAAAGTCAGTTAACTCTTTTGCCTCGGGAAGATGGGACACAGTTCACGTAGTCGTGTTTCCTCTGATTACATTGGTAAATGTCTTTTTAGGCATTAAGAAACTCTTTTAATATGACAATGTTTTGTTGATGGCATAAGCTGCAAAATATTACGCGATTTATCGCGAAGCTATGGATTAGGATATATAAGATAGATACGCGATAAATCGCAAAGAACAATGAAGAACGAAGCGTGGTTTATTTGACGATAAAACATTGTTCTATCCTTGCATCACTTCTTAAGATTCGAATATGCACTCGCAACTTGATGACGTCATATATTGGTCGACGTTATTTTTTAGAGGGAAGTGTCTTGTATGTTGTTCCCCATATATGTAGCTGGGCTACGCAGTGAACGCACTGGCTGAACGATCACATCCAAATGTGGGCGAGATATGACAATCGATATTGGGAGAAAAGGTACAGATAATCGACGTGAGGACTGTGTGAATATGCGGGAAATAACAAACTTAACCCACCTGTTCGTACAATGGACTTGTCCGACGTTTCCGAGGTCGGATTCTATTCAGGGAGTCATCATTATTAAACTCTGGGTAAATATTTTTATAGCTTGTACATTTTATCAATATCATTAAAGAGGCTGTACATAATGTTCATATCTCATATAAGAAATAAAGGACTCTTTGTCTTTGTTTATCGTAAAAAAATAATAAAAAAACAACAACAAAAAACAAAACAAAAAACAGGGAGAATAAAACACTCGGGGCTGATTTTCAGATCAACTTGTATCTTAAAACGTTTATGTTCCATTTTATGGGATGATGAAAGAAACGTACAAAATGATAGCAATACAAACTTTGCAATTAAATAATTCAGTTTCACATGTTTCAACTTCTAGGAAATGAAATCTTATCATGCCAATTCTGAAACTCTATATCCTTACCTCTCTGCTTGAACATATTAAAACACTTTTGACATTTCCCCAATCTTGCAAAATC